TAACCAGAGCTCACACACAGAAAAAAAAAAGTTGTATAGATTAGATAAAATACAGTCTGACAAACGGATCTGAAACAACGGGGCAACGGTAAGGGGATCGCAATTTTGTGAAATCATGACCGATTTCATTCATAAAATATAGAGGAGCGTCCGGTGTTTCATAAAAATATATCAGGAATTTTTATAATATTTTCCAGTAAAGTTTATAATATTATTTTACTTTAAATGTACCTACATTTTGTTTAGTCATTTCCCAAATATAGTAATATTTGTTAAAACGCGTGTACTAATTACAATAAGCAGAAATCAAGTTAAAGGTATAAAACACAATATAATACACCGCCACTGGAGTTTTCAGTAGTAGTGGCGGTTTCTACTATTCCTAGAGAGGGACATAAAGTTGGGGGTAATGGCGGCAAGACGTGCGAGAATTTTGACCAATCAGATTGGTTGAATCCGGGATGCCATGATGAATTTTGTCAGCGTTGCCAGCTTGCCCTAAGCGGGCGTTATTTTTAGGAAATACTTTACCTTTTATAATAGGCAGAATGAAGGAGATCAGTTAATTAGATAAATATACATTAATACAATAAGAACAACGTCAAGATATTAGCATATATATAATTATGTATGCTGAAAAGAACAAAAATATTGTTTTGTTCTAAGATTATTAGTGGACTGTAATAGGTATGAGTTTAAAGAGGTTTTGAACTTTTGACACTTTTATTTATTATTTTTCAACGGCGATCGGGCGGCCTTGTGTCTTACTTGAGTTTTGTCTATAAACTGAAACTTTCGTCAGCTGAGCGCGGTTGCCTAATTGCTTAGTTGTCTGGTAGATGTCGTTAAATCAATTTAAAATAATTTACAATAAAAATACAGAAACTAGACATGCCGCCGACCTTGAAATAATACATTGTTTCAACAAAATACAAACTAAATTATAATCTGATACATTAACATGAATAGAGATCATGAATACCAACAAATACAAAATAATGCTTATTGCTAATCATATTCGATGGGTAAAGGAACGACCTTTGTTATCGCACGTTTAAAAATGCCATTTTTTGTGCGCACTGACACAACACGCACTAAATTATCACTTCCGGGATGAACAGACACTATACGTCCCAATGGCCAACGCATAGGAGGCTCGTTGTCTTCTTTCAGCAACACTAGGATGCCTTCCTTAACGTTTTCTTGACGAGTTTGCCATTTGGACCTCTGTTGTAATGAATTCAAATAGTCTTTACTCCATAAAGACCAAAAACGCTGTACGAGCTGTTGTAGGTGCTTGAAGTGACGTAATCGATTGGCAGGAATATCAATGTCGTTCGATTGAGGGACTGCGATTAAACTTTCGCCGATCAGAAAATGTCCGGGCGTAAGAGCTTCTAGGTCGGAGAGGTCATTAGTGAGGGGTAAAATTGGGCGGGAGTTTAAGATTGCCTCTATTTGAGTTAGTAGTGTGTAAAAATTTTCAAAATTTAAATGATTATCGCCGAGAACACGCTTTAAGTGATGTTTAAACGAACGAACTGCAGACTCCCAAGTACCACCATGATGAGGCGATTTGGGTGGAATAAAATGCCACGTTATTCTATGCTCTGAGAAATAATTCGGGTATTTTTCGTTAACTGAATCTCGCACAACCTCGCATAATTTAAGCAATTCGTTATTCGAACCTACGAAGTTAGTCGCATTGTCGCTAAATACATGACCACACAAACCACGACGAGAGACAAATCTTTTAAAGGCATTCAAAAAACCTTCTGTGCTAAGGTCGGTCACGAGCTCAGCATGAACGGCACGCGTACTAAGGCAAATAAAAATACACACATAAGCCTTAATTTTAACTCTATTCCGAGTTTTACCATCTTTTAGTAAATAAGGCCCAGCGTAATCGACACCACAATAATAAAAAGGGCGAGAAGGTACGACTCTTGGTTTAGGTAAAGACCCCATTAATTGATTAATGTCGACTGGTTTGACGCGGAAACAAATTAGACATTTTCTTACTATCTTTCGGACCTCATTTCTTCCGTTGACTATCCAAAATTTGTCTCGAATTTGGTTTAATACAAACTGCGGGCCTGCGTGTAAAAATATAACATGGTAATAATTAATAATTAAATCGACAAAACAATGTTTAGCGGGTAATAAAATAGGGTGTTTTCGGTCATATTTTAAGTCCGAATTTTTCAATCGACCGCCTACACGTAAAATACCTTTATTGTCTATAAAAGGATCAAGACTTATAAGTTTGCTATTTTTTGACAAGATTTTATTGTTTTTTAAAGCCTTAATTTCTTCTGAAAATCGTTCCGATTGAATAATTCTACAAAGAGTTAATAAAGCCTCATCTAATTCTGAAAAGTAAGAATTCCGGTTAACTTGCTATTAGATTTTAAATTATGACAAAATCGGTAAATATAAGCGACGATACGGATTAGTTTCGGATACGAAGACCATCTAGAAAATATTTCGTTTTCGAGAACACTTTTAACAGTGGCGAAAGAAACCTCTATGTTTTCTTTTCTTACATCGGAAATTGATATTTTGATTTTCTTGGTATCAGGCCACGTTTCGGGCGCTGTTTTCAAAAACGACGGTCCGTACCACCAAAGTGTTTGGTCTTTTAATTCAAGTGGGTCGGCACCCCGAGAAACTATGTCTGCTGGATTGATTTCGGTATTTATGTGGCTCCAGGTAATATCGGCGGTAAGACGTTGGATTTCCGCTACCCGGTTACAAATAAAAGTTTTCCACTGGCTAGGCTCTGCATTAAGCCAGTCCAATACGATGGTTGAGTCGGTAAAAAGGACAGTATCGTTTACAGGGAACTCTAAAGCTTTTATTGTTTTTTCTAATAAACGAGCTAGTAAAAGTGCACCGCACAGTTCTAATCGAGGTAGGCTCATGGAACTTGACGTTAAAGGAGCTAACCGAGATTTCGCGCATATTAAGTGTGACTCGATTTCGTCACCGTTTTCGCTAACTAAATAAATACATGCTCCATACGCAAGTTGTGAAGCATCGGAAAATCCGTAAAGCCTTTTGGGTTTTTTGAAAGACTGGCCTTTTAATACACAACGCGGGATTTGCAACGACTTTAAATTTGGTAATTTACTAACGAAATCTAACCATTCGATCGAAATATCTTCTGGAACATCGGTGTCCCAGTTCACTTTGGAAATCCAAATCCTTTGTAAAATCAATTTAGCTTTAACGATTACAGGACTAATTAAACCCAAGATATCGAAAAGCTGTCCTATCGCGGCTAAAACCGTTCTTTTCGTAATTTTGAAAGTATCGATTTTTATATTATAATTATATCCGATGGTATCCATACTAGGATTCCAAACTGTGCCTAGCGTTTTCGTTTCGCCTTCCCCTGGTATACAAAAGTCTTCGTTTGGCGTATCGCCGGAAATTTCTAGAACGCGGTGATCATTGGAAATCCATTTTCGCAAATTAAATCCGAATTTCGATAAAATTTTGTTGATTTTTATTTTTAAGTCAATAGCTTTGTCAAGGTCTGATGACCAAAAATTAAGTCGTCCATGTAAAAATTATTGATAATAATTTGACTTATTTCGGGGTTAGAATCTTTAATTTTAAGACCGATTTCATGAAGTGCGCGAGTAGCCAAAAAGATGCGGTAGCGGTACCGTAAGTCACCGTATTTAACTGATAATGAATTATTTCTTTGGTTTCATTATCTCCAAAGTATACGCTGTAAACTACGTTGTGATTCGTCGATCAATATCATTCGATACATTTTTCTATGTCCGCGACGATTAATATTGGATAAGTACGCATTCTTAATACGACGTCAAAAACATCCCGTTGAACTTTCGGTCCGACTTTTAACACGTCATTTAAACTAAGCCCAGAATCAGTTTTTAAACTAGCGTTGAAGACAACTCGTACCTTTGTAGTACTACTACTCTCCTTTACGACAGCGTGATGGCTCAAGTATACGCACACCTTTCCAGGTTGATCTAATTCCGGATTAATTTTCGACATGTGTCCTAACTGCTTATATTCGTTTAAAAAATCCGCGTATTGTTGTTGTAAATCGGGGTTTTTTGCTAAACGTCGCTCTAAAGATAATAAACAATTTACGGCAATAGAATAGGAATCGCCCAATGCTAAATAATTTTCTTTTAGCGGAAGTTTTACGATGAATCGCCCGTCGGAATCGATTTTGTAATTTTCCCGAAAATGTTTTTCACATTCTAATTCTTCGTTACTTAATTTATTTTGTTTATTTTCAATATTTTCTATTTGCCAAAATTGTTGAACGTTATTATGCAACATTTTATCGCGTTCTTGGTTTAAAGTTAAAAAACAATTAGTATTTGCGTTGTTAGTGCGGTGGTTTGTCGTTACTTTATGTAAATCTAAAGGTCCTACAAGAACCCAACCGAATTTGGTGTTCTGTAAAATCGGCGCGTTGTCTCCGAAGAGTATTTTTTCACTACTCAAACAACGGAAAAATATTTCGGTTCCTATTAAAATGTCTATAGGCTCTGAATTAAAAAAATTAGGATCGGCCAACGTAATATTTGCGGGCATATTTATTAAAGTAGGATCGAAAGAAACTTGCGGCAATTTTGTAGTAATAATCTGACTGATTACCAAGAATTCAATTTTAGCCTGGAACGCATCATTTAACGATCTTATAGTTGTTTTAATTTTAGACGATACCCTACAGGACGCGTTATTTATACCTATAACCGGCATATTTATTTTGTTGCGTGGTAAATTTAATTTATTGCAAAGTTCTTCCGAACAAAAGTTTGACTGACTCGCGGAGTCTAATAACGCGCGACACTTTACCGTCCTGCCGTTTGAATCTAAAATATTTACGTATGCTGTAGCAAGCAAAATCTGCTCGTCGTTTTCACCTTGGCTAGCAGCTGATGCCGTGGCGGTACTATACGGAGCCGTCTGCATTTCACCGACTTCGCTTGGCGCGTTACTATGGAGGAGGCGAATCGAACGCAAAAATTATGGGCCCAGTTTTTGAGATCTAAATGAAGTTCGAAAATCGCCGTTAGGGGCGCTTGTGATGATTGGGATACTAGAAATACACAGCTTCTTATGGCAAGAATAACTATTTTGTTATAAATTATAGAGCCAAGTTAATATTTGGGCATATTTTTACCAGAGTTAGCTTTTAGAAACGTGGTTTTTCTAATTGAGCAATGTGCGTGGCTAAAATTGTGAATACAAAACCTTAAATTTGAGTTTGAAAAGTTAGTTAGGTTATATTAGATGCCGGTTTAATATATCCTTTTCCTAAGTTGATATTATAAAAATGTTTTATTATGTGGTTCTTTTTAGTGCATACACGACCGAAGAAACATATAAGCTGCTAAAATAAATCTTCCCTAGAACTGTTGTACAAAAAAGATAGAAGTTCCAGCAACAAATTTATCACCAGTTCAACCTTTGATTTGATGTAAACAGTAATTGTTTCTTGATGAGAAATGCGAATGAAATAGTTTATGGTGTGATTGTGTTAGTGTTTTATTAATAGTTTTGTTGATGCAGTTTAAAGGTTCATAGTTTTTCATTAAAACATTTGAAATTGACATGTTTACATGCAGTTTAGTGTGATACCATTTTAATAAACATTAAAATCTTTCGAACTAGTAGTGGTTTTATGGCGATTGACAGATTGAATAACGAAAATTAAGAGTATTTTATCAGGAATAACTTAATCATAAATGGAAACTGAAGACGAACGTTACCATTGCACCCTTTGATCGGTGTTATCTATTCCATAACTTTTTATAGCTGAAACTAGAGAGTAGGTATATTGAGCTGAAACGTTTCCTGTGTTCAATAGCGTTTTTTCTAGCGTTGAATTGTAAGTTTTAATGTCATTAGCAAAGTTTTGCAAATTGTCACTGTTTCGTAGACAATTAAATTCAAGATATATTATATTCAATGTCACCTAATAATTGTAAAGGTTTTTCTATTGATATTCACTTTATTAATATAAGGTAGGTTTGTAAATAAAATATTAATGAATAAATAATGTACTCAGTTTATTTCAAAAGCACAAAAATACAGAGTTGTGAATATGTATATACGCTGACTTATTTCATCATATAAATATTTATTTAGCAATATTAATACATTACAACTTTTGTTTCTATTAACTAATTCCACTAAATTTAATAAATAAAATATACAATATATAAATTTAATATACAATTTAGCACTTAGATATTAAATATCTATATGTACTATGCCAAAAAATAAAACAGGAACATCATATTATATCAAGAACACAAAAAATTACAATTTAAAAAAAATGCATTCTAAAAAAATACCTAGCTACAATATACCTACATATTAATTTAAAGAGCTTATTCATATTCATAAAAACTATTCTAAATGGTTTATATACACAATCAAAAGTATCAACCACAATACAATAATTTTCAAATTATTTCTTATATTCCTCAATGAAAAAGTCTTATGAAGTAATTTCATTCTCATTCTCAAAGTTAGGTTCTGAAGTTTGATTTTCAACATGATTAATAGGCAGACCTTTTACTTTTTTTGAATTAGAAACTTTTTCAGTTGCTTCACTCCTTACACATGGTGGTTTCCTCTTTCTTTTATTACTAGAGAAATATGAAGGCAGGTTAGGAAAAATTCTTGGAATTGAACCCTCCTTTAATAATGGTCTACCCCGCTCAATTCTACTGATAGTTCCGTCAGTTAATTTGATCTCATAATGAGTCAAAATATCTTCATCTAGAAAATGTAGTTCACAAACAGCATCTTTGCTGCTAAGTGTCTTGTCTGATCTGGGTATCGCCTTTTGCCACTGCTGTAGCAAGCTAGGATCCTAATAAAAGATATATAATTGTTAAATAAAATAAAAAAAAAACATTTTTCACTATTAAAGCTGTTATTTTGAGAATACGATCTTGAAGTATAAATATTTAATATTCACTTTCAATAGCACTGTTCAAACTGTGGTTAATATAGGTACATGTCAACAGGTAATTTTAGCACCTAGTAAGTATTAAATTATTTTAATTTTATAACAAGGCCTCCTAGGTTATGTTATACACATGTTGATTTTAGGCTATATTTCCTATTAATTTGGTTTATAATTTAATCTGTACACTGACAGTATATAATTTTAATGTTTTTCTTAACATCTATCCATAATTTTTATAAATAAATAGTCATACTACTTACATTAGGAGCTTTGAAAAGGCTTGGGTTTCTTTCACCCCGTTCTTTATTTGCCTTGTTTTTATTGGGATTCCCACTTGTACAGCCAGGTACAAAGCAATTTCTACCACGACTCATTGTTGTACTGCTAAAAATTCAGTAAATTAACTATAAATTTTATTAAAACACAATTTTAGCATGCAGATGGGTATATTTATAAGCGGCAAAATTAAGCAGGGATTACCTACGGTTAGGACTTATTAAATGAAAGGAAACGACCTGTTAAATCGTATACTAACAATGAAAATGTAGTATCCCAGTCGATCGCAGTGCCTCTGCTAGGTCAAACCGAGGAAGCTGTTTAAAAGTGGGGACAGAAATTTATTTAATTTGCCCATTGCCGATAAATCTCCTTTTTTAAGCCCTCCATAGTTTTGTCTATAAACTGAAACTTTCGTCAGCTGAGCGCGGTTGCCTAATTGCTTAGTTGTCTGGTAGATGTCGTTAAATCAATTTAAAATAATTTACAATAAAAATACAGAAACTAGACAAATATATTCAATTTATAGGTAATATTGAGCAACTTTACTTTTCTATTATTAAACGTGACAACGTCGACTTTTTTTGCCCGAATTCCTCTTGCTGTTTTAAGGTTGTCGCCCACTAGACCGCTGCGCGGCGCGGCTCTGGGAAGAGAATTTTTTCCGGCTGCGAAAGAACTGCGCCCACTATAGCGCGCTTTTGAAACGCGGCAACGCTATTTATTAGTTAAGGTTGTCGCCCACTAGACCGCGGCGCGGCGCCATGTGGAAATTTCTTTTGTCTGCTTGCCATGTATTTAAATGGACCAACGCACATTAGAGCGCGCAGCGCAGAAGCGCGCCGCGGGATTTCCGTCAAGAAGTCGGAAGACTTCTCTAGCAACTTTTTTCGGTCTCCCGCGGTTTGGCGCGTTGCAGTGTGCGTACTCACAAGGGAAATAATTTTGCATTCGAGTCTTTTCAGTTGGCTTTTTGACTAGGAACTAGTGATACGTATCACTGGTAGAATTGTATTTTTAAAGGTAAATTAGGCAAATCGCTTTTCATAAAGAAATATGATATTTTTTTTAGTCTTCCCTCACTAGAGACAGATGGACGAAATGCCTTTCTATCAAAGATTTAATATAATTGAGGGGTGTAGAGGCAAAACCGGCAATCTCCACTTTTTAACAAAAGTGACAATCTCCAATTTTTAAATTCTAATTACCTAAATATATAAAAAAGATCAGGGTTTTTTCACCACATAACTAATATACACATCAGAATAAATAAGAATTATCAAAAGAATTAGTAATTTGTCTCTTATGAAAAAATATGATGAGTAGAGATACCCGGTGTTTTGCTTCTAAAACCCTCAATTGAGGAGTGCGTAAAATGTTTCCTTTATATTTTGTAATGCTGAAAAAAATTATCTTGTTTTTTATTAAATCTGGAAAAAGATGGTAAAATTCTCCAAACTTCTTTCTTTTTTTCTTAATCGTATGAGTCCAAACTTTTCCTCACCCCCTCTTCCTCTTCCTCTGTTAGAAGAGCACAAAAAATACGCATTCGTCCGTATTTGAACTCATTGCTTTAAAAACTAAACTACAGTAAGTAAAAAACACTTCGACTATAACTAAATAGCGTTGCCGCGTTTCAAAAGCGCGCTATAGTGGGCGCAGTTCCTTCGCAGCCGGAAAAAAATCTCTTCCCAGCGCCGCGCCGCGCAGCGGTCTAGTGGGCGACAACCTTTTATAGTCGAAGTGTTTTTTACTTACTGTAGTTTAGTTTTTAAAGCAATGAGTTCAAGTACGGACGAAAGCGTATTTTTTGTGCTCTTCTAACAGAGGAAGAGGAAGAGGGGGCGAGGAAAAGTTTGGACTCATACGAATAACAAAAAAGGAAAGAAGTTTGGAGAATTTTACCATCTTTTTCCAGATTTAATAAAAGACAAGATCATTTTTTTCACTATTACAAAATATAAAGGAAACATTTTACGCACCCCTCAATTGAGGGTTTTAGAAGCAAAACACCGAGTATCTCTACTCATCATATTTTTTCAGAAGAGACAAATTACTAATACTTTTGCTAATTCTTATTTACTCTGATGTGTATATTAGTTATGTGGTGAAAAAAACCCTGATCTTTTTTATATATTTAGGTAATTAGAATTTAAAAATTGGAGATTGTCACTTTTTTTAAAAAGTGGAGATTGCCGGTTTTGCCTCTACACCCCTCAATTATATTAAATCTTTGATAGAACGGCATTTCGTCCATCTGTCTCTAGTGAGGGAAGACTTAAAAAAATATCATATTCCTTTATGAAAATCGATTTGCCTAATTTACCTTTAAAAATACAATTCTACCATTGATACGTATCACTAGTTCCTAGTCAAAAAGCCAACTGAAAAGACTCGAATGCAAAATTATTTCCCATGTGAGTACGCACACTGCAACGCGCCAAAACGCGGGAGACGGAAAAAAGTTGCTAGAGAAGTCTCCCGACTTCTTGACGGAAATCCCGCGGCGCGCTTCTGCGCTGCGCGCTCTGATGTGCGTTGGTCCATTTAAATACATGGCAAGCAGACAAAAGAAATTTCCACATGGCGCCGCGCCGCGTCGCGCTGCGGTCTAGTGGGCGACAACCTTTAGATCCGTTTGTCAGATAATACTTAAGCACTATAGGGACAGACAAAACCTAATTTACCGTATCTAAATATTTTGACTAGAATTTCTCTCCTAATATTAATAACCCTATTATGTAATTTATAAAATATTAATTATTAAGAATTAATAAACATTTTTGTGTTTGAAATGAAGTAGTTAGTTTTTTCAAATAAAATATTATCTACTATACAAAAGAAAATTTACGTAGTTGAAAACAGATGAAAAATATAGTTGTGTGTGATAAACAAACGTTTTATCAAAAAATGAGGAGGTAATTCACTAAGGTACATAGGAAGAAGTACTAATTTAGAAAAATCACATGTTGTAGTAAATACTTTTATTTTATCAAATACAAAATAAACGTGCTGGTGTATATATCTTAGCGTGAGGGAACTAATTTACCACCTACATTAGAAAAGTTTTTTACTAAACCAAAAAAGGGAATTTGCTAGGGTAGATAAGCACACATGCGTACTTAGAGAAAGTTCTTATGTAGATTCAGGGTTTATGGTTATCCTTCAGCAACTTCTAAGCGTAGGAGCTTCCACCGTCATGCTGGTTTTTCCTTTCCGATACTTATTGTTGACAAAATATATGTAGGCCAGTAATTGCATTACAATGTTAGCTCTAGCGCCTAAAAAATCAAATACAAAATTATTAAATCTCGGATACTTCTATTACTTTATAGATAATATTACCTGAAGAAATATCATCTGTCAACTCGTTTAGTAGTTTTTTTATTGCGTTGTCTTTAGAAAAGTTGCCATGACTTGCATATTCTATTTGAATAAATTCATTGCATGATCAGGGAAGGAAATAATTTTCCACGTGGAAATAATTTACTATTATAATATTATTATACAGCGTTATCTGAAAATTTTATTCGAGTTATTTCAGGGATGATTTTATCTAAAAAAACATGAAAATTTCTGTATGGGCGACTATTGATAATATTATGATTGGTGTATAAATAAATAAATGATTGATTTACTTCTTATGTTTATAAATGTTCTTATGATTAGAACTATTGATATGTTCTATAAACCTGCCTTTAAATTTACCAAAAGATAGAATTCAGGAATTTTGCATTTATCGTTTTATGTTGCATTAGTCTTAATATTATAATAATTATCTGAATAAAATTGGAAATTACTTACTCACAAAATCTTTCATGATTTCTTCGAGGTCTCACTCAATCAATAATCTTGCTTTTCTTCCATTATTACTTAATAACACATTTGACACAGTAAAATCAAAGTCTATATACTTTTTAATATAGACTGGTTGTTTCTATATATTGTAATATATATAATTTGGTAAAACAATCGAATTTCTTCACAACACAAATTAAACGTTTAAGATGCGAACGCTGCGATGGTTAGATGGAAATAAATGACGTAATGCCTAAAATCTTATCTCTAACTAATATATAGTCTCCATTATTCCGTATCATTATCTGGGGTAGCTAAGAACCTTGTCTAATTTGTCTACAAGTTTTTTGATTGTTTTAAACAAAATAATGTCTTACTTTAATAAAACATTGTGTTGAAACACAAACGGTATAAAATAAATTTGAGTCAAATAAAAAAGTTTTCTGTCAGGTCAACATAAAAAGGACAATAGTATTAAACAACACTTGTTTTAAAAGTAATTAGGTCCTATTTCGTTAAACTACACTATTAAAATTTATAATCATAAACAAACGATTTATGTGTTTTTAATAATTAGTAAGTTGTATAATCTAATTCCAATAAAGTTTAATTTGAGCGAGTAAATATTGTGTCAGAAGAAAAAAATGATTCTCGTGCATAATGTATCTAGAAAATTTCACTACTGCTTTATCTGAATCCAGAAAAATACACATATAATTCAATAAATTACTCATCAGATAATAAATCTTATCTAATTACGCCAAGTTATTTTTTTCTGTGCTCAAAAAAACGACAATTTAAATTTATTCATTCATTCGTCAAAAAATTAAATAAAATTTATAAGGCGTTACTTCTCACAAAATTCAGTTTTTTAGTATTTGGAGCAATTATTATTAATCAACGTAAACAGTCAAGTAATGTAGTTTGAATATTGGGATCATATTAATTGATTCTCTTTAACAAAAAATATTTAAAGAATTTTTTTTTTAATTTTTAATGAAATAAGCGAACTATATATCGACAATATTAGTATTTGTACTCTTTGAAAATTTGATACATCTTTAAAAATAATCTAAAATGTCAATATTCCATGGGCAAAGTGATAAATGAGGTCTAAATTATAAGAAAATTAATTTTCGACGAAAACTTGAAGAAATAGGTAAAAAATGGTATAATACAATTTGATAGACATTTAAATTGTGCATATGATTCTCGTAAAATATACAGGGTGTTTACCATTTAAATTAAACAGGTTATTGCCGTTTAAAGCTAGTAATTATTTAATATATATATTTTTTAGACACTCTATATAAGGTAGTATTTTGTTTATTATTGCAACACAAAATCTGATCAATAAATAAACAAACTTCAGTAAATATTTAGTATTAAAGACTTCGATACCCTTGGCGAAATAAAGCCTTAAAGATTTTACTGCACTTTCATATAATTGAAAATATTTTAAAAACGGTAACGTTTAAGTGTGATAAACCTCAATCAAATTTACCTTTATTTCAATCGTAGAATCTAAAAATAGAATAATATACAGGGTATTCCATTTAAAAAAATACAACTATAATATTTTTTACTTATTTGTGACACTCTGTATCTTGTAAAAATATTTTTAATTTGTAGCTCTAATAGTCCTCCAACGAACCCAAATCTTACAAATTGTAAAAATCTAATCGTTTAGCTACAATACTCCGTGTCTTATGTGGTGAACAACCCTGTATGTTTTTCATATTTTTCATTAACTACATATTATTAAAAATGGAGTGGACAAAAGGAACTTTGACTGAATTAAGAAAATGCGACATTTGACATTTACGTTAATGATCAATTAAAGATCTATCGCCTCGCAGACCAGATCGGCGGGAATACAATAACAGGCTCGAGCAGAGAGACAGATCGTTTAAAAATACCTCTCGTGTGTGCCCACCTATTTAGGTAAGAAGCAATAACTTGCTGGGCTTTAGCTGAAACCTATGTATTTTAAAATCGATAAAAATATTTTATGGTTTAAAGTGTTAAACATCTTTGAATAATCCAAGAGTACCAGTAGACAAATGTAAATGAAACTCTTTAAAAACGATGTCAGGTTTGGCTTGGAAACGAATTTTAGGGCTCAAACGCACTGACGTCGCAGTGTCGCGTCGCAGCGATTAGCATTTGATTCAATGTTATTAGGAAACGCAGTTGCGACCAGTAATAACATTGAATCAAATGCTGGTTGCTGTGACCTGGCCGTCATGTCAGTGCGTTTGAGCCCTTAATGTAATTATAAGATGACTATCATCGAATCATGTCATTTCTAAATCGACTTGATGCCGGGAATATAAACAATGCGCCGTTTTTTTATCATACGCTAGGTATATATAAAAAATTTTAATTTTATTAAATTAACTTACTCAATTCATCTCCTAAACTCTTAAGGGTCTCTATATGGTGTCTCATGGAATAACTTAAATCAGCCAAATAGTATAGTTCCAAAGGGTAGTTTCTTGCTGCTTGATATGTAAAACTTATATTTACTGGTTCTTCTAAAATATTTAAATTTGTTTAAAATTGTATGCTATTCAAGCCTAGTTTAATTAAAATATCTTAATTAAATACTTAGGAATTACTATAATAGGTACATTATATCATATCTTTATTTTTTATGTTTTATGAAATACTAGCTGACTCGCCTAATTTTGTACCGCCTAACAGTGAAGTGAGATGATGAAGTAAGTTTTTTGTGAGAACTGCATACAAGAAATTCTTTCCATAATAAGTCGCCAATCAAAACTCAGTACATATTATTTATTGCTAGTGCAGATTCATATGGGACTTTGAGAACCGATTTTAGATACTATAAGCTGAACTTTTAATAAAAATAGCTCAAATGTACCTAAAAGTTCATATAAAATAAACCAGAGAGATAAATGATATACGCTTTTTTGACCAACAGTAATAAAATATATCTATTAATTCTTATACGACAGAAATATACATGGTTAAGTTAGGTTGCTGAGGTTTGGGATTGCGATACCCCTGTTACTGTTGTACCAAACCTTTCTCTCATTCTTTCTTTGCGTTAAAGCACTTCCAGCTCTTTGCAAAGTTCCCGATGTTGCTGATATTGGCTTCTGCTGCTTCCTCTAGTCCTTCAAAAAAAACTTTTTTAAGCCCTAAAGCTTTAAAGCGTCGGTATTCCAGTGCCGGACAGTGGCACAGCAGGTGCTCTATGGTTTCTTCTTCCTCTCTGCATTCTCTGCAGTAGTCGTCGTTGGAAATTTTCCATCTCACGAGGTTTACCCCCGTGGGACAATTTCCAGTGACGACACCTACAATTATGCGTACTAGGTTCTTTTTGTGCTCTTGTAGTTGTTTTTGCTATCTACCACTGGCCATACTCTTCGAGCTGTAGCGCAGTCCTCACGGTGTTCCCACGTCTTTTGCTGCTTGGCCTTGATAGCAGTTCCTATAGCTTTCTTCAGTGTGTTGATCGTCACAAGGGGTAGATCATCTGCCACGGCTTCTCCCCTGGCCCTCTCTTTGGCGAGTCTGTCTGCTTCCTGATTGCCCACCACATTGCTGTGGCCTGGCACCCATCACAGAGTAGCCCCGCCCTGACGCAGCCAAGACAGTGCTTCTCGGCATTCCATCACAGTTTTCGATCTCACTGATTGCATGGTGATGCTTCTTAAAGCGCCCAAGCTGTCAGAGTATATCACGATTTCCCCTATTGGTCTATCAGCAATTTTCTCTCGTATACAACTAGCCGCTTCCTTTATGGCGTAAACCTCTGCTTGTAGAACATTACAGCCATCCGATAGCCTTAAAGATTGTCGGATGTCTAGTTCCTCTCAGAAGATGCCTATACCTGTGCCTCCTGAAGTTGCGGAAGCATCTGTGTAGACTGTTATCTCTTGAGTGTTTATTACACGGTTGCTTTCCCATTTTTCTCTTGTCGGGATGCAAATCCTTATATTTTCTCGAAAATCATGTTTGGTGAGCATATAGTCTGTTTTCTGGTCGAGCATATGTGGACACGTATTCGCCATGATTTTCCCTCTCACTGGCAATATCCTCGAGTGACCGTAGTTGGTCGGCCAGATCCTTCACGAGCCAGTCGATTGATTGCAAGTCCAGAATGGCTTCTAGCGCAGCTTGCGCTATATTGTTTCTTGCTCCAGTTGTACATAGAGCTGCTAATCGCTGTAATATACATGGTAGTCCGAACTATATTCGGAGAACTTGGACAGCTATTCTACCGATAAAATTAGGTAAAAAAGTTAATATAAAGTTATGTCCTAAAATGCTTTGTTTCAGAAATACAGAGTGTAGAACTTCCATTTTTCTTTCGTTTTCTTTTCTCAATGATTTCTGAACAAACATCATATTTGAATGAAAATTGGTGTCTGTATATTTTTGGATATGAGAAATTCGATTTTAATAACGTATGATCGAAGAAAAACGGCGTCTAGTTGGCGATTGATGAACTTTATATAATTATATATAATTACTTTTCCCATATAAATTTATATCACAGATAACATATAATCCAGATGGCCATTGCTTACGGAACAGCATGTTTTCGATGAGACAGTTCCCTATTAATGACACAGAGGGCGCCTATAGCCAAATCTAATAATATTTTTAAAACGAACGAATTTGGAGCTACACCACGGCCACGCGATGTGAAGCGACGTAGCCGGTTGTTCACATTTATAAGCAAATTCCCGGTCAAATCCAGGGAAAATGTATATTCGGACTTTAATACTAGACAATTGGATATGAAAATACTAGTCGCAGTGGATGTTTGAAAGTCAGAATTTCTAGATGCATATACATATATGCTATTTATAGCCATGAAATTTATAATTTAGATTTTATTTTTATTATTTGTCTCTTAATATTCATTAGCTGAAAATAAGGGTAAAGGTTATCTATATAGTAATAAATAAAATTTGGCACATAGGTTCCTTAAGTGATGTAAATGAGCACTAAGAAGGGATTTTTTGAAAATTCGACCGCTAAGGGGGTGAAATTAGGGATGAAAAGCTGCATAAAAATTTGTTAAAATCTGGTTTAAGAGTATGAAATTTTTCACGAGTGCTCCTTGACTGACGTAATTGAACACTAAGGGGCAATTTTTGGAAATTCGCTCGTTAAGGGGGTGATATGGGGGGTACTTTTGTATACAAAAAAAAGCATGTCCTAGGACTACGAAATTTTGCACAGAGGTGCCTTAAGTAGCGTAACTTAACAGTTCGATTATACAAAGCGATTTTAGGAAATTCTTCTACTAAGGGGTGAAACTGGGGGTGAAATTTTGTATACTTTTTTAAAATTAGTCCGAGGAGTTTGAAATTTGGAAATTGTTAATTAAGTGACGAAAGTGAGTACTCAGAAACGAATTTTGGACATTCATCCCCTAAGAAATAAGGGATGAAAATTGGTATAAAAATTTGTCAAAATCGGTTTTAGAAGTATGAAATTCTGCGTAGACGTTCCTTATGTAACTTAATTTAGCACTAAGAGGCAATTTTAGGAAATTTTCCCTCTAAGGGGGTGAAATGAAGGGTGAACGTTCTGAAAAAAAATCTGTCCTAGAAGTATGAAAATTTGCACAGAGGTTCATCAAGTGATGAAAGTTATACTCAGAAGCGAATTTTGGGCATTCATCCCTTAAGAAATAAGGGATGAAAATATGTACAAAAATTTGTTAAAATCGGTTTTAGAAGTATAAAATTGTTCGCAGACGTTCCTTATATAAGGTAATTTAGCACTAAGAAGCAATTTTTCGAAATTTTCCCTCTAAGGGGGTGAAATGAGGGGTGAACTTTCTGAAAAAAATCTGTCCTAGAAGTATGAAAATTTGCACAGAGGTTCCTCAAGTGATGAAAGTGAGTACTCAGAAGCGAATTTTAGGCATTCGCCCCATAAGAATTAAGGGATGAAAATTTGTACAAAAATTCATTAAAATCGGTTTTGGAAGTATGAAATTTTGCGCAGACGTTCCTTATGTAACGTAATTTAGCACTCAGGAATAATTTTTGGAAATTCGCCCTCTAACGGGGTGAAATAAGGTGTGGACGTTCTGAAAAAAAAATTGCTTGTTATTGCTAAATTACGTTACATAAGGAACAAACAGAATTTCATACTTCTAAACCCGATTTTAACAAATGTTTGTACAAATTTTCATCCCTTATTTCACTCTCTTAGGAGATGAATGTCCAAAATCCACCTGTACAAAATTCCACACTCGTAGGACTGTTAGTTTTAACTTTCTATTGTTAATCTAAGGTTTTAACTAACAATTTATTAAAGTGCAACTATATAAAAATTATACAGGGTGGCGCCTCTCATACGACTCGGAGGCTCCAAGGAGAACGACCAGTTCGTATTGAAATGAAATTTTGTGAGCATATGTAAGTTAATTCTGCGCACGTTTTAAAAATATAGAGAGTTCTACAGGGTGTCCCCAAAAAAAGTTACACATCAAATTTGTGTTTTTTATAACAGAATACCCCCTTTATTAATTAATTTTTAGATTCTAAGAGAAAATAAAGGTGTGTTTTATTAGGGAAGTATATGACTGAAATGTAAGGTTTTAGACTTACTTAAGATTTTGAAGAACAATTTTTAAATTTCAAGAAAAACTACCTAAATTGGAATTTACTCTATTGCACTTTAAATCAAATTAAAATCTGATCCATAAAGTTATACAGGGTGGGGCAAAATTAATGCTGAACATTGGTATAACCTGTATAACTCCTTTAATACCCACCCTGTATAACTCCTTTAGTTTAATTGAATCACCCAGAATATTATTCCGATATTCAATGGGAAATTCATGTCACTTCCAAATACTATTAAGGTTGCCGGCCTACCCCTCAAACAAAGATTTTCCTAGATATATTCATTTCTATGATTTAGTGTGAATAGATCTTTATTATTTGATAAAATCTAGGGTGGCTGTGATATGTCTGACGTTACTTCAACATAGCTGTCAAATTAGTTCAACTTTAGCAACTAGTTATCATTTTGTGTCAGTTCGTCAGTTGAAACAAAAAAAATCTAAGAAATTTTCCGAAAATAGAAACTTATCCTACATCAGAGAGAATTGATATGATTCTCTTAGTTAGCTCCTGATTTTATCTAGTCTGGGCTTTTTTATTTGATTAACATATATCAAATAAAAAAGCCCAGACTAGACAGTGTTAACAAAACTCGACCAAACCAAACTATTGTCTGAAACTGCATTTTTTTACTTACTAAATATGAATTTTACTTTGTTTTGTTGATATAATTTATAACAGTTTATATTCACTGATTCATTTATAATTTGTATCCACTTAATATTACTTGATTTATCCATCGTAAACTTTAGATATAGAAATATAACGATGGACAACTCTTAATGTGTTAAATTATACCCTACGATCGAAAAAAAAACGGCGTCCGATTGGTTTGGAAATGACGATCGATGACATTCCCCATATAATTTTACATATCAAATGACAGCGATCTTCATTTCATAGCCATCGCTGACGCCGTTCTTTTTTCGATCATACGGTATATGGTAAAAGCCATCCATCACCATTTCTAAGGTAACTTAACGCCGTATTTTTACATACAAAATGTGCAAAAAAATTCTATATAAATGAACTCACAATTTTCTATCCACTTTGTACATAAATTAGGACGCATGAAACTTAAACACATGTACACCTGATTTCCGAGAAATCTCACAATTGTAAAATTGACACTTATTACCAGACATTTTAATAATAATTATCACTAATCGCACAGTTGTAATCAAAGACAGTCAAAGGTATATAATATATTACCATCACAGATTACCATATATTACCCGGCTTTTAAAATATCCATTAAAAACAAAAACCAGTAACGACATATCTAAATCTTCTATCTTTGTCGCATATGGTTCGTTCCTGTATTATTCTGTGATAAGGGAAGGAATAGAGATTTTCTGTGATAAGTGGTAAAGCTAGGTTTTCATATGTACAAATTTGGCAAACGTTCCAGGAAATTCGGTCATATTTTTATTATAAAATTATTTATCATACACAAATTTATTGTAAAAAAAAACTTTTGAACGTATATTCAAATTTGAAACGTTTCAATTAATAAATAACGTAAATCACTTTTAAATTAAATTTAAGAAAAAAAATCAAAATTAATAAAACGTAAATCACTTATGAACAAATCATTATTTTAATTTCAAATTTATATTTAAGTTATATTACAAGTTATTTACTGTTGTCTTATACAGAGTATATCAAGACAAATGCGAAACTTTAAGGGGTGTATTCTTTGTTATTTGCCAACATTTTTAAAATAAACTGAAGAGGTTGAAAAAATGGATAGATTTGTATATTTAGAACGTTTTTATGACTTGCAATTTTTCCATAAAATTCATTATTTGAGGTTAAAAAAAAATGTAAATTATTATGTATTGGGACCAAAAAAATATTTTAGCAAAGAAGCTGTTCGCCTTAAAAACAGTTTTATTTTCTACTACTGTAAAATATTTTTACAAACGACATATAAGGATAATTGATTGACAAACATGTTTTAAGCTACCCTTCCTAAATCTTCCTTAAAATAAAAAGATTAACAGATGGGAATACATATTATACCGCATGATCGAAAAAAAACGGCGTCCAGTTGGCTGGGAAATGGCAATCGATGACATTTCCCATATAAATTTTACATTTAAAATGACAGCGATCTTTATTTCATAGCCATCGCTGACGCCGTTTTTTCTGATATATGGTATATCAAATAAAGTATTATTAGAAAAGCTCACTAGATTGTTTTCTAGTAAAAAAGACCTTATTTTGTCACAACAGGTGACATTTTTTTGTTTTAAATCAAGTAGGTTTTAAAAAAACTACAATAGGTAAAAAAGTTTCTAAACAAATAGAATATCCAAATTAATTTATTTCCAATGACAATAATGTGTAAGTTTGTAATTAAAGTTAGTTAATAAGAATAATAGGTGTAGTATATTTCAACATCATTCACTGGTTTTAAAAACATCAAAAAATATGCATGTGTTTTCATAGTATAAATATGAATTGTTCCTTACGTTAGTTCTTATTGATATAAAAGCAAAAAAGTATAAAAATTAAAAGCTGCAATTTTATTAAAAATATGTTATTCTAACACATATTTTTTTAACTGTAATGTTCTAAATTGATCAAAATATAAATGTTATTTTTTTCCTAGGAAAAATAAAACTTCATAACTTAATTTTCATAAATAAATTTATTTCTATTAAATTTTATAGAGCAATTTGTATTACAGTTTTATTTCACATATTTTGTAATACTGCTTCGGTGCAGTGCCCCATTGCTATCTGTGAGTTCATTTAAATTATGACGACATTACTGATCTAGAAGATAAAAATGTACCTAAGTACCTTAATATTATAATCAAAAATGGCTAATTTTGTAAATGATTACCTATAATGGTTAGATGAGTTATGAATGTAAACTTCTTTACGTTGGTTTCTTGAAGTTAGGTGATATTAATTATCTTCGCATCATCATGGGCTCTAATCAACTGTAGAGTATTCGTCAATCAACCTGAAATATGTAATATTATTTACTTTATATTTACGAAAAATTACCATTTTCTTTTTATGAAAATTTTGAGTTTAAATTTAAATGTGATTAGAATAAATATACATCAGTATTTAACATTTTATCATAGGTAATATTCTATATATTACCTGTGATTTTATGCTAAAATGTTTAGTTTTGTGAAAATATTACTTACCTATAATATTTAAACGAGTTCCTGAATGTACAATTTGTTTATCACGATGTCAACTTCTAAATCTTGTATTGGTTGTCTAAAACTGTTTGATTTTGCTTAGTTATATTGTATCATATATTTTATTAAACAAACTCAAAATAATGTTTATAATTACCTTCATCAGCCTTCATATCATTAAAGTTATTATTATCACTTATCATTATCAGTCATTATGTAGTTATTTGTTCATTTGTTGCTCTGTTTGTTGTTGTTTGTTTTCAAAGATCATTTTTGAGGTTAATGTCATATGAAACTTTTCGTAATTAGGCAACTGGTAAATGACGTGTGACGATAAATTAATAAAATAATAATGAACGTATTAAGTTAAATATTTATATATTAATTTAACATATCTATTTCAGGTAATACCCTATTTCATGTATATAAATTACATAATTTTTAATTTGGTATACCTTTAATTTTATATATTCATAATGAATTGAAATATATTTCGATATAACGTTTGGCAACCACGCAACTGAAGTGCAAGCGACATCTGTGCAAGAGAAGCAAAACCTCCCAAAAAAGTGAGAAAAGATATCTAAAAATTTCAGATTATTCAAATGTCACTCCAATATTTTTCCAAATTGGAGTGAAATTAGGGTGACAATTTTTAACACGTAAGGAGCCATCTGGATTATGTGTTATCTGTGATTTATATATAAAATGTCAGCGATTTTCATTTCATACCCATCGTTGATGCCGTTTTTTTTTCGATCTTACTTATTGGGGACGCCACCTATACAATATATTTTTTAACCATTTTGAAGAGTAATAACTTTCTGTTCGTACCCGTACTACACTATTTTGTAAAAAAATACATTTTCGCAATATTTTACGTAAAAAAGTTCTCTTGGTAAAATTCGCTCCCAGTAATAGTTCAAAATATTTGGAATCACAATAGTCAATAGTTCAACATTGGCAAAAATTAAGCATGTTGATTAGTAATTAGTAATTAGATTGAAATATAAATTTGAATTTTTTTTGTGCCAAAGTATCAATAGAAACTGTTTTACCATGATTTTTTCTAGAAAAATTGATGATTCATTAAAAAAATAAAAAGTTCTTACTTAAATTTATCATTCCACTCAAATACCTATAAACATAATGTTATTGTTGTGAATAATGACATGCATTGACTATTTCCATTCCAAATAGCTTGAGAACAGTTGCTCGTATCGATTTTTACCGTAATGTCTTTTTTGCTTAAAAATTACGTAAATGTATATTTTTTACTCCACAGTTTTATACAGGTGCGGGCGAAAAGTTATTACTCTTCAAAACAGTTAAAAAAACATGTAGGTGGTGCCCCCTTCAGATAGGAGTCATAATGACGTCGAAATCTAGTTTGTCATGCCACAAAAACACCCAGGCACTAAGTTAAAAAATATAAAATATAATTAAATAATATAAATCTAAATATCGAATATATAGTTCAGAAATTATTTGGAAAAACCCGAAATAAAAATGAAAGTTCTACACCCTGTATCTCCGAAACGAAGCATTTGAGGATATGCATTTATAGGAAGTTTTTAACGTATTTTTATCTGCAGAATATGCTGCTAAAGTTTCCCGAATACAATTCGGACCACCCTGTATATTGGATCCAGGAAAGTGTTTCATAAAATATAGTTCTCTACAAATCTTCTAATATAATTATACCAAAAAATGCATTTCTTCATTTTAACTTGCATTCGTTTACATTATAAAGTGGATTATTGATTGCATTTTCATGCCACTTGATTACTTCTTATAATACAGTTTTAAAACCTATGTTATCTGCCATGCTTACCTTTCCTTAAAAACACGTTAATTTTTCGTGGTGTAATCTGTGCATCACTGTCGTCATTAGAGTCTTCTGCATTAAAGTTCTGCATTTGAGTTTCGTTTTTATTAAATTCGATATAAAATACATTGCATTCTCTTGTTAAACTGTCGGCCAAATCACACTTGGCGCCTTTAAACTAAAACAATTTTTATTATTTTTATTACCAGTGTATAAACGTATAGATTATGAATAAAAATAGCACACATTAGCGTTTTTTCTTAATAAAAAGTGGGCATTATCATAAAGGGAGATGCATTAAGTTTCACACCAACATAAATAAATTATATAAATATTAATCCATAATTTATATTTACCGTTGGGTCATAACACCAATTACAACAAGCATGGGCTCTAATACAACTGGAACACTCAGTTTGCTTCCGACATAGAAACTTATGGTCTGCATCGCATATTTTTTTACCGGCACCATGTTCAAACAAACATAAAAATACAATAAATATTTTACAAATTAAGGTGTTCATCGTCGTCATAATTATAACGCTCACACTACAACCGTAACCGTAATCTATAACACTTTTGATCTTATCAGTTAGAAAAATATTGTTATCTAAATACTGATATACAGGTTTCCCGCTTTCTAAGATAAATAAAACATCATGAATACTTGATGGGAAAAAGCTATTCTAAAAGTTCTTTAATATGTCTTCTAATATTACCTACCTTAAATGTCAGGAGTGAAGTTCATAAGAGTGAAAAGTGAAGTTCATAAGTTTCAAAAAGCACACGTATCGGTATTTTTTCTTAAAACTTTGACTGATTACGAAAAGTATATTAAATATAATACAGGGTGACAATTTTAAAACGAACATTATTTAATATCACCTCTACCCTCTACCGATGATAGTATGAAAAATTGGCGAAATACGTCAATTTACATATCAAGGGGGACAATTTTTGAGGCATTTGTTGTCGTGTTACTTTCAACCCTTTGACACCCAGAGCACCTACCCCTAAAATTTTAAATGGCAACCCCTATTTCTTTTACCATTTTTGTGTTCCTTATAAAATTCTCAAAAAATAATGCAGTTTATGTAGAATTCTATAAGAAACTCAAAAATGGCAAAAGAAACGTTGCTATTTAAAATTTTAGGGCTAGGTGCCCTGGGGGTCAAGGGGTTGAAAGTAACACGACAACAAATGCCTCAAAAATTGTCCCCCTTGATATGTAAATTGACGTATTTCGCCAAATTTTCATACTATCATCGGTAGAGGCAGGGGCGGTTAGGTTACAACCTAACCTAACCTAACCAAATCATCGGTAGAGGCAATATTAAATACTGTTCGTTTTCAAATTGTCACCCTGTAGAATTGAAAATGGTGATATTTGCCATTTTGACATTTAGTGAGACTTAGTTAGATATTTTGATAACAGTAGTCTTTACAGAAGAATGAATGATAAAATAAATCAGATCTATTATACAAGGTGTTTCAAAAAACATGTGCCATCTCTCGTGGGGAGATTCCTCACGTAAAAATAAGATTTATTTTTCATATAAATATCAACATAGGTCCGATTCTGTTTTGTTTCGTAGCTACAGGGTGTTAAAATCTTAATAATCTTTCGATTTATTATAATTTTCTTCCAAGTACTTTTAGCGATTTGAATGAAATTATGAGGGTAAAAGTTACTATGAGTACTACATATTTTAATGCTAAAAAAGTGTCGATAAATTCACCAGGGACGTGCATATGGGTTATCACTGGAATATTTAAAAAAAAACATGTGCACCACTGACTTTTTTGTTTTGATATCAAAATTATGTAGGCCATTTAATACTAATTAAAAGTTATCTCTTGATATTTTGTCGAATTCGGCCTCCTTGATGTCATAAGCGCAATTTTATTAATCAGAATTATTAATAAAATTAAAATAAAAATAAAATTAATAAATTATATATTTTATCTAATTTATTATTAAATATTATTACTATTAGTTATTATTATTATTAGTCCAACCTACAGTAATTCCAAATAAAAAAATAATGGTATTTAAGATATGTAATTACAAAAAAACTAATTTTAAAAAGTTTTAGCATTCTGTAACTCTAAAACTATGCATTTCCATACCCATGTTTATAGGAACTTTTTTTCATATTTTTTGATAAGGAATCAATGAGTACTTATTTAAAATTTTCGCAAGTTAATAATTTTAAAATTCTTAAAAGGTTGCTATTAGATTTGGATCAAGGCAAATTAATAAAATTGCATTTATCACAAAATCGTCGAAATCGACAAAAGATCGAGAGACAACTTTTAATCGGCATTAAACTGCTTACACTATTTCGCTAACAAGAGAAAGAAAAGTCAGTGGCGTACATGCATTTTTTTGAAAAATATTCCAGTGATACCCTTATGCACGTCTCTGGTGAATTGGTCGACACTTTTATAGCTTTAAAATATGTCGCATTTATAGTAACATTTGCTCTCAAAAGTTCATTCGAAACGCTAAAAGTACTTGGAAGAAAATATAATAAATCGAAAAAATATTAAAACTTTAACACCCTGTAGCTACGAAACAAAGCACAATCGGACCTATGTCTGTCCAACGACAAGATCCTTGACAGTGATAGATGTGTCTATCATTTTAATTTCAAAGTAGTTTGTTTTATTTTACAAAGAAATAAGTTGGTACAACTGGAACGCATAGCAGGAATTTAATATATGTAAAATTTGACTGACAAGTGACTACTTCAAAATATTCTAAAAAAACTGTATAAAACTGGAAAAATGTAATCGAGTTATTTTATTTAAAAAATGGTATGTGTTAATACAAAGAGCAAAACAATACATACCAAAAAATATAAAAAAGAACTATTTCTTACTTTCAAGCTAATTAAGCTAAATTAAGTAAAATATATAATTTATTATTTTATTTTTATTAATAATTGTGATTAATAAAATTGCGTTTATCTCATGGAAAAGGCCGAATTCGACAAAATGTCAAGCATTAACTTCAACTGGCTATTTCATAGAGAGATGGCACATGTTTTTTGAAACACCCTGTATAGAAATCGGTAAAAAGCAATGCATTGATAATGTCTTAAGTGTATCCAAGCTCATAGTATCTAATTCTAATACAATATATTTCGGCATAAAATACATAATATTCATACTATTTGTTTGGCACTTAGTCATGTGCATGTTGTCATCAGTGATTCATTTAAACGAACCGTATGATGTAACCCATGAATCAATTCTCACATGTTTTTCCTTGAACGAATCGCATTTTTAGAACGAACCGATTCAAATCTTACAATTCATTCTTACAACTCGTTCCGATTTTTGGATCCGTAGGTACTTGCCACGATTCATTTGAACGAACCTCATTCCGAGCGGTGAATCGATTGCCACGATTCATTTTTAATACTCGTTCTAATGAACGTATCGTTCAATCTTTACCTATATTTATAAAGCACTATACTACATATAAATGTTCAAGAAGAAATTCTGTTTGTATATTAGATACATTAGAAGGTAGTAGACAAACGGTTTGTATTTACCCCTACCCCTGCCCCTAAAACGTAATAGTTTCAGATTTTTCAAATTTTTAAATAATCAGTAAAAAGATTCGACATTTAATCATTTGAATTATTTGAAGAGGATTAAATAGAAGATACGTAAATGACGAAATATTTTAGTCAAACAAACGGTATGTTCATTTTGTTTAAAATATATAATTATCGCAAATTGCAAAACGGTTAAACTAGTTCATCACGTATTATTTATTTGCGTTTGGTGCATCTTGGTGTTGAACAATATGTGCCAGGGCTGTGTTAAAAACTTTAATTTTTAATCAAGAAATCTTTTCGTTGTCTCAGCCGGTTAAAAGATGCCCAAATCGTATTTTTAATTACAACTATTTTTTTTTCAAATGGAACAAGGGTAGCTCACCATATTTGGAAAAAGCATTTTTTGGTACCACACACTATATATATATATATATATATATATATATATATATATATATATATATATATATATATATATATATATATATATATATATATATATTATATATATATATATATATCATCTATATATATATATATATATATATATATATATATATATATATATATATATATATATATATATATATATATATATATATATATATATATATATATATATATATATATATATATATATATATATATATATATATATATATATATATATATATATATATATATATATATATATATATATATATATATATATATATATATATCTTTTATAATGCTCTCTGGAACAGCGTGCAGGCCGTCTGGCTGCCGATACACGTTGCGTTTACTATTGCGCATCCAAAGAAGATCCTCTATTTTTTACTTAGCGGTTTAAATTCTAGTATTGAATAGAAACCGAGCAAGTCTCCAAAAGCTCGGTGCGTAGAGCTTTTGCCTATGAAGCGAAGGTCAGTGGTTCGATTCCGGCTGGGGTTGCAACTTTTTTATTTTTTTTTTCGTTTATATTCTGATAGTAAAGTATTAAATATTTGGTTTTTTTTATCACCAGAATGGATAGCGTTTATGGGTTTATGATCCGTAGTGTATATAAGTAGAATTTGATACTTTCATTTGTTTTGAAGGATTATTATGGTAATTAATTATTAGATAGGTTTAGGATGGTCTGGCTGCCGCGCCGGTAGGTGGCGTTCACTACTGCGCATCACATGGGTACAGGGTGTCTCATTTTCGTGCGTTTTTTGGGATTTGGGATATCTGGGATTTCTCGTTTATGAGTGGAGATACAATGATACGTTTTTTTCACATTACTTTGCTAGTTTTTTATGTAATTAAATATTTTACCCCTAGATTTGTGCATTTTCTACACATTAACATTAATCAATCTCGTTTAGAAAGTATTATTATTTTATTTAATTTAATTTAACCAGATAATTTTGTTTTCCATTGTTATCTTAACAAACTGAACTGAAAATAAACTTGTGTAGCTTTTAGATAACAATCTGTTAAAAAAGTATTATTAAAATAATAAACAACAGCTGAAAAAAAATTTTGAAGAAAGACAGGCAGAAATTACCTTAATAAAGCATTAAAATGTTAATTTTTATATATTATGTTTAAATCTTTAAAATAAAATTATAAACGAGAAATCTCAAAAAACGCACAAAAATGGGACACCCTGTACACATGTGATGCGCAGTAATAAACGCAACCTACCGGCACGGCAGCCAGACCATCCTAAACCTGCCTAATAATTAATTACCACAATAATCCTTCAAAACAAATGAAAGTATCAAATTCTACTTATACCCACTACGGATCATAAACCCATAAGCGCCATCCGTTTTGGTGATAAAAAAGCAAATATTTAATACTTTACTATCAGAATATAAACGAAAAAATAAATAAAAAAGTTGCACCCCCAGCCGGTATCGAACCATTGACCTTCGCGTCACAGGCGAAAGCTCTACGCGCCGAGCTAATGGAGACTTGCTCGATTTTTATTCAATACTAGAATTTAAAGCGCTAAGTAAAAAATAGAGGATGCGGATAGAGGATCTTCTTTGGATGCGCAGT